ATGTAATTTAGCATATTGGTGACAGTAAGTCCCTGCATAATCAAAGAGGAATTAAAATGGCGTTAAGCCTGTGACTAAAGTGTATGACTGTATGTCCAGATCCTGTCATGAATTTCCGGAAAAAGCTCCTGGAAATGTCCTGGAAAATGATTCCTTAAAAAGAGTGGGAACCCTGACAGTGTGCCGTAAAGCAGCCTGAAGACTGCATGTACCAGTGTCGATGGTGACAGTTTTCTTCATAGGGGGCAGCCCTGGAGAGCACCTACGGAGGTCATGGGTAGGGCAAACAAGCCACAACTGTGCACTGGCCAGCAGAAAAGTAGCAAAAAGTCAAAAAGAAAATCAGACCAAAGACTGTATATAAACACACAGCAGGACATCGGCGGTGAGAAGCTAGAGGCCTTTGATCAGCAGTCGCTGTAGGGGGAGCAGGAGAGTGACCCAGCCTGACTCATGGGTTGGCTACAGGTGGGGAGGCAACCAGAATGGAGGGTGGTCTCTGCCCTCAAACTGGAGAGCAAGGCCCTTTACTCACAGCAGGGGGCCTTTGAGGGGCACAGTGGCTTGCTGTATTGACGCCAGCTGTCTCTGGATGGCAACCAGCTATGGATGCCCCAGAGCCTCATCACCACATCAGGGAAGCTGTCGGGCCACTTCCATTGGCCCAGCTGCAGCCAGAACACATGCACCACCCCAACGAGTCCAGGCAGCCGGTCCAAAGTACTGCTGCAGACGTATCGAGCTGGTGCGCCCATGGAGAAGGTCGAGGTGGATGTGCTGGGCCCCTTTCGCTGTAGTGATGCTGGGAACTGGTGCGTACTCGTGCCCATGGATTACTTCACCAAGTGACCTGAGGCATACGTTGTTCCTGATCAGAGTAACTGGAGAGGGCTGGGGGAGGTCCACAAGCACCTCTATGATGTCATCTATTGCCTGCGACTACCTGCGCTACAAAAGGCTGTGGTCTTGTACAGGGGTCACCAGGCACTGTATCGCCCCCTGGCCTGACCTGACCCAACCTCCCCTCTGCCCCACCCAGGGGGTCAGGGGACTCTGACAGGCTGGCCGCAGAGGCCCCTGCTATGTTTGGGGGACTTTCTGTTGGACCTGAATGTCGTCAGGGACGTCTGACCCTTCAAGTGGGGGCAATGTGACTCTGTAGGGCTGGTCTGCAGAGACTAATTATTTGTGTACCAGCACACTTTTGCAGTGTTGTAATGCAATGCAGTATCGTAATGTTAGCAGTCTGATGATATATAAAGATTTTTTTTAGCTAACTGGTTAGAAAACTGGTTAGAAAGCTAACTGATTCTCACATACCCAAAGACCAGTTCTGATACTAAGAACAGAAGTACAGAGGACGGTAAAAATCCCCGGTTGTCGTTCTTGTCCCGCCCCAAATATCAAGGATACATCAGTTGCATCCTTGCCAAATGAGACTAATCCCAAGATTCACTGCATCCCAAGTTCATTCTTGGGATGCAAGTTAGCAAGACCGATCTTGCCAAGACCAGAAGTACGATCTTTGCCTTCTTGGTATTGAGAAACACCCCAAGTTATTAAACTGAGATCCACTGAGATAGATAATTGAGAAAGACAGACTATACAGATGAGTTATTCAGGCTGACATTACTATGTTTCATATTGATCTGTTTAGTTGTACAACCCCAATTCCAATGAAGTTGGGACGTATGGTGAATTGTAAACAACAACAGAATACAATGACATAGAAATCTCATAAACTGATAATTTATTCACAACAGAATACATAAAACAAGTAAAATGTTTAAAGTGAGACATTTTGCTATTTAGTGAAAAATATTGGTTCATTTTGAATTTCATGACAGCAACACGTCTCAAAAAAGTTGGGACGGGGGCAATAGGAGGCTGGAAAAGTTAGTGGTACAAAAACCCAACAGCTGGAGGAACAATTTGCAAATAATTAGGTCAATTGGCAACAGGTCAGTAACATGACTGGGTATAAAAAGAGCGTCACCAATCCCCCTAATACTGCATCGACAAATAGTGGAGCAATTTCAGGAAAGAAGTTCCTCGATGTAAAATTGCAAAGAGGTCGAAAATATCATCATCTACAGTACATAATATAATCAAAAGATTCAGAGAATCTCAGGGATCGAATTTATCGACGGCATCGACGGCAAAAGCCGCCGTGCCTTAGCAATTTGCCGTGCTGCCCTGAATATTTACAAGTTCTTGCCGGCAGATACTTGCAGTGCCCTCTTCCTCAGTTGCCTTTGTTCCCTATTGTGTATGTTTAGATCATAATAAAGTCAATAAACTTATGAAATCAAGAACAAGTTCTTCCGTTTTTTACTTCTCTGTCGCCATGTCCATGATGTCTGGGTTGATAAGTGCATCCCATAATTTTACGCTAGCCACGCCTCCATGGTTAAATTATTCAGAGCCGATGCTTACCTCCCTCCAAAACTAATAGCAACATGTTCATAGAATAGCGAGGGTGAGAAGGTTTAGAAGTTCTTTTGAAAATAGCCAGATTTTTTTTAGGTAATTTCGCTGGTTATGCATGTCTTTCCCAATCATACCGCATCTATTGTTATGGAAATTATCTGTCATTACTTGACGTTGTAATAATTTATAATAGACTGTAATAATTCATAGAAGATTGAAATAATTGATACCAGATGTGCATTGAGTTGAAGTGAAAATGGAGAAGGAGTTAGAGCATAAACTGTACTGTCCTGCAGCTGCTGTCACTGGACAGTTTGTAGTGGCTCGCGGCACTGGGCGGGATAG